ACTCTGCTCCTTCCCTATGCCCCAGCCACCCGCCCTTCTTCTGTTCCTTGAACATGCCAAGCTCCTTTCTGCCCCATGGCCTTGGCACCTGGCAGGTTCTGTGTCTGGAGCTTCTTCCCCCGACTTCAGGAGCCAGGCTGGCTCCTGGACATGCAGGAGGTGTCAGCATACATGTCACAGAGAGGCCTTTCCCACCCACCTGAGTTAATATTGGATCTCACTCCAGTTACTCTTTATTACCTGAGCCTGGTTTGTTCTTTTCATAGCACTCAACACCGTTTAAAATTATTTGATACATATATAAAGTTAGTCATACTTCTATTGATAAATATAAGAATTCTTCTATCTATGTGTCTCTATTATATATCATTGTTCATTGTTTATGGGTGTTTTGTCACTAGGGTGTGAGCCCCATAGGAGCAGGGCAGTGGGCTGGGCTGTCTTATTCCTTGCTGTATTTTTAGCTCTTGGGAAGATTGCAGTGAGTATTTACTGAAGGCATTGAACAATTGAATGAATGAATGAGTAGTTCTGTGCTCTCCAAAGCACCAAGGATAGGGACATAGCAGGGAGGGAAGGTCAGGTAAGATCAGGGCCACTGGTGCCTTCATCAGAAGCCCAGTTCCAACCCCTTATCTCACTTCCTGAAGCAATGCAAGGGCCCAATACATATTCATTAAATACGTGAACTCATCTAACCAAGTAGGCTGTGGCATCTGCTCTGTGTGGCAATTGTGCTTATAAGCCCATTTAGAATTATCCTGGAGGAGGATCACAAATCCCAACAGCCCAGATAAAAGGGCTCCATCCTACCCTACCCTCCCACCCTTTCTCTCTTCTTCAAACCAGGGAATGTCAGTGTCCAGCTGCTGGAGGCACAGCCTGCTTGAGTCCAACTGGGTCACCCAGGGAGTTTGTGTTCAAATTTTGGAAGCATTTCCAAAACTCTCAGACATTCTTCTGATCCAAAATCCATAGCTCCCCAGGACTCTGAGGGTTTGGATCTGATTATTTTAAAAAAATGTTCCACAACACGAAGAAAATGCACCCTCTACCCCACCCTTGCCTGCCAACCCCCCAAGCTCTCACCTTTTACCTCCCACCTCCCATCATCCTGACTGACCATTTGATACTTTAGAGCTGCCCAGGGGCTGGAGAGAAATGGATTTTATTTTACGTCCCACAGCTGTTGCAATGCTGGGGAAACCCCACGTATTTAAAATATTAAAATGGTTTCCAGACTGACAATATTTCTTATTTAGTGTTTGAGGATTTGGAGCTTACCCAGTTGACCCATCTCTGGAAAGTAAAAGAAGAAAGTAAAAAATGAAGGCTTAATCCTATTCCTGCTGCCCCCAAGGACATTAGAGCAATTTAGGCAGAGTTTAATATTTGCTGCCCCTGCTGGTTTTCTGGACCCAATGATCTACCCAGAAAGGGGGAAACCTCAGTTCTTAGGCTGGAAAGTGCCTCCCGGGGTGAGATGGAGTGGCCTGAGAATTCATCAAACCTCTCTACCAGTCTCTGGGCTGGCCCTCAATCCACTGCCTCCCCTCCCCACCACACACACACACACACACACACACAAAATCTAAAAACTTTGAAGGCAATTTCACAGTCTCTCTAGGAGTCTGCTTTCATGGTCCAATAAGCCCTTACAGTCAGGAAGTCATTTCTTGGTCTGACCTAAGGCTCTTATGCTGCATTAAACCATGTTGATCTTAAAGAGTCTGGGTTTCCTGGATGGCACCTATCTTAGGCTTTCCCGGGGCCCATGAAGGCAAATGAGCTGCCTTTAAAGGCACATTTTAGAGGAAATCTGTCTTCCACTGTCTGATGGCTGGAGCGTTCCTGCTGCTGGAGCCTTTGATGATTTCCTTGCCCGCCAAGGATGCCTGCCCCACAGCAGGGAGGCCGCCCCGAGTTCCGCAGTGGCCTGGGGTTGGTCTCTTTGGCGAGGTTTAGATGAGGCTTGCTGTGCTCTATTCCAATTCGTAACCTTCCCTGGGGGCCAGTGCTGAGAGTGCTCTTCATTTTGTTCTTTAATTGTTTTACTAACCCACTGGCTCCATCTCATTCTTCATGACACTCTTTAGGATACCCCAGCTAGAGAGGGATATCTAATGGAGACACTGCTACCAGGCTACACTCAACCACATTGTCTAGATTGAAGGCACTTTCCCTTATTCTAACCACTCTGACCACGACTGGTTATCCTTTTTCAGTTCTGAATGAAACTTCTAGAACTGAAAGCCCTCACACTGCAATGGACAGAAAACAGATATTTGTGAATGGAGAGATTAATGAATGAACGGGGTAGTGCCTTACCGTGTACTTGACTAGACACGCTGGCATTTTGGGTTTTCAGTTGCTTCCCTGTTTAGCAGTGGGTTTTCTGCTTCCCACTAGCTGAGATCACAAAGCACATTTAGTAAGTAGAGAAAATGCCAGTAATCCAGGACAGGGGAGACCCAGCTGGGAATCTGGGAAAGAGTTTGACCAAATTCTGGCTTCAGCACTCAGCCGTGGGCCAGGCAGAACACAGGCTGAGGAGACAAAACTGCCCCTTGTATTGGTGACATTAATTCCAAAGTGCTTTTAAAACTTAACCTCTTGGATCCAGTCAACTCTCCTGTCTTTCTTCCTCTGATCCCCCACCTCCACTTCAAGCCCAACAGAGCCAAATTAAGGAGGATAGTGTCATATTCAAAGTAGCTCTGAACTGAGTTCACTTCTCTGAAATTCCAAACAAAGATATGCCATAAATATGATGTCCGCATCTCCCTGTCCTACTCTGACAAAGCAGCCCCCAGAACTTTGAAGCCTGGCTTCTAGAACAAAATGTAATAATATAAACTACTGAACTGGAGGGGCTGGCACTGTTTTACAAAGGCCCCAAATAGGCAGTGAGTTTGGGAATGGACTGTCCCAGGAACCAAATCTCATTCCATATGGTGAAGGAAAATTTTAACACAAGAAGCTTCTCTTTTTTAACTTTTTTTCTTTTCTTTCTTCTTTTTTGTTTTTTCGAGACTGGATCTCACTCTGTTGCCCAGGCTGGAGTGCAGTGATTCTGGCTGACTGCAGCTTCAACCTCCTGGGCTCAAGCTATCCTCCTGCCTCAGCCTCCCGAGTAGCTGGGATTAAAGGCATGCACCACCACACCCAGCTAATTTTAAATTTTTTTGTAGAGACAGGATCTCCCTATGTTGTCCAGGCTGGTCTCAAACTCCTGGGCTCAAGTGGTCCTGCCACCTCTTCCTCCCAAAGTGTTGGGATCACAGATGTGAGCCATGCCCAGCCTCTTTCAAACACTTTCTATTACCAGTCTAGTAACTCTCCTTTTCTGGCATCCTGCCCCTCCAGGCTGGAAGAGACATTACAGCCTCTTGCTCATGAGCCAGAGTGGTTGACTATTCCCTAAACCTGATGTAGGAGTACCTAGGATCTTAGCTCCCTAACACACTCAAAAAACAAATCTCTGCATCAGGCCTCAGCCATCAGACCAAGTCATATCCCCAAGTCATTAGAGTACAAACGATAACACCTGCAAATTAACAAGTCATGAAACTGAAATAATACATCTTCCTTGCTCTCTAGTTAACTAAGCTAATTAATTTTATGATTCTCCTCAGCTTTTTGCAGCTTGAAAAATAAAATAAGAAACATTTGGGTAAATCTTGAGTTTTTCTCTCTTGGAAGATGCTTTAAATGCCTTCTCTTTTTTCCCTCATCCCAAGTTCCAATCTCCCCCACAAAACAGAATGCTGCCTTTAGGATATAAAGCCTTAGCTTGAGGTTCTCATGAACTCTGAAAGGCCCTTTTGTGTGTGTGTGTGTGTGTGTGTGAGACGGAGTCTCACTTTGTCACCCAAGCTGGAGTACAGTGGCGCGATCTCAGCTCACTGCATTCTCCTGCCTCAGCCTCCTGAGTAGCTGGGACTACAGGCACTCATCACCATGCCTGGCTAATTTTTTGTGTTTTTAGTAGAGACGGGGTTTCACTGTGTTAGCCAGGATGGTGTCAATCTCCTGACCTCGTGATCTGCCTGCCTTGGCCTCCCAAAGTGCTGTGATTACAGGCGTGAGCCACCGCGCCTGGCAAGACCCTTCTTTTTAATCCCAAGGTAATCATTGAGTTCTTGGGCCTGTGGGACATTGTCTTCACTGTAGGAAGTTTTCTGCATCTGAATTTTATCTTGCTTACTGTGCTTGATGGTCCCTAGGAAAAAAGGTGCCTCAATTAACAAACTAGGATGCATATTTTAATTGTGTGTCTCATTACGTTTTCCTTTGGCCACAAGGAAAATCACTAAAACTTTTTGCTCAATTGCACTAGCTTTCCTTAAAGTTTTTGATGCTGATATCCACTAAGATGCAGCTCCTCTGAAGGCACAAGTGTCCAGTGTACCCTTTCAGCTGGACAAAAGAACTCATAGAAAAATTAAGGGTGTGAGTTTAGAGAGAAAGAAGCATGTCTCCAAGAAATTGTGGATTTTGTGCTTTTGGTGCCTGGAGTTGAATGGAATCAAATGCACAGAAAACCCACAAAATTTTTGAGAGAGTTTACTGTCAAAACTACCACCAGGCTTGTCTAAAAGAAAATGAAACTGTTGGAGATGAAAACACATTTCTGGGGCCCCACCTTCTTATAGACAGGAAGCAGACTGAGAGGATAGTCATTGTCATATTCTCCGATGTGCTCTCTCGAAGTGATCAAGGCTGATGGTAAGAGAAAATCTCTCACAGGGCAGAGCCAAGAACCCACAGAAGAAAGGACTGAGTGTGGAACAGGGGCCCAACCAAGGAAAATTCTCAACTCCTGGATTAGGAGGACCTGGCCAAAAATTCCCAGGAGAACATCAGAATTGCTGCAGCCCAGCCAGTGCTGAGTGACTCTCGTTCCTTTTCTTTCCAAGTAGCAGTGTTTTTGTGATTCTACACCTGTTCCACCGTACCTGGGTACCTATGGAAAACAACTTGTCTTTTTGATTTTTTAGGTCCTTATCAAATCAAGAGGAGCCTCAGTGAGATCTGGCATGGAACATGGATTTCCAGCTCAATACCAGTGTTGGATAAGATTTTTGGAGCGTCCTAGGGATGCAGTGAGTGTATTTTGCATGTGGGAAAGAAGTGAATATTTGTGACCAAAAGGGCAAAGAGTGGCCATTGTCTGTAAATATTCACTCCCTCCTCTTCTACCTATCTCTAGGGGGCACACACACTTCCCTGTCCTTGACTTTGGGCCTTGCCATTTTACTTGTTTTTGCAAATGAGATGTTAATGGAGGTGACATGAGCAGGAGTTGAAATGTGCTTGCGCTGTAGAGCTTGCTGTCTTGCACTTCTCCCATTGCCACGAGAAAAATATGATATGAGTCCAGTAGGATGAGAGGTATTTGGAACAAAGCTGCCCCAGGTGCCCTGTAGACCTGTGGCCTGAAGCGAAGCCACCCCATGTGACCTTCAGGCAAATGGGTGAGAAATACCTCTTGTTATATGGCACTGTGCTGTTTGTGGTTGTTTGTTACGCGGTGGTGGCTGACTGAGACAGCCCGCAATAGCAACCATGAGTCCCATGGCTTCTTTAAAGATAGGAAGTAAAAAAGTAAATGGCAAACAATTTGGGAGTGGGCTGATACCAACAGAAAGGAGAAATGATCATAAACTTTGGGATGAGCTGACAAAGTTCTCATGACTGCCTGGAAAACTCAGCATACCTAGTGGGTCCTGGAAAAGGTGGGAGGCTATAAATACAGAAGCAAGTGTACCTCAAAGTCTCCCATGCCAGCCAAAGAAGAGGAATAAAGAGTCGGTTGAGGTTGTGGGTGAGGTGAATGGGTTTATAGACTGAGGTTGCCCAGGAATTCGCCGTGTACATATACAGTGTACATACTTAATGTTTGATATATTTATTATACAGTAATTTTCTGATAATTAAACTTCTTAATATAACTTTGTGGTAAGAGTGCTTTTCCCACATTCCAGAGATTACCAGGAGTCTGACTTTTAAAAAATCTTGTTGTATTGTATGTATTTTTAGAAAAAGGTAGAGTAAAAATAAATAGATTAACTAGGACTGCTGGAAAAGGGGGTTGGGTGGGAAAGAAAAATGCCATTCAGAAATAGACCATGAAACTAATTACCTGGATAAACCAATGTAACAAAATTTATTGTTTCAGACAGGGTCATAAACTCAATTACCTTAGGGGACTGGCAGGTGACACAAACAAATGAGGTAGGCATGGTGGGGAGTGTGGTGATGCGGGAGTGTGTGCCCTGTCCCAGAAGGAAAGCTATGACTGGGCTCCCTCCAATTGTTGCCATGTGGGAGTGGCATCTAGCGTTGCCAGCTCTTCTGAGGAAACAGGGCTGCCATGTTTGCTTCTGCAGGTTGTACACTGCACAGGAGTGCTCAGCCGAGAGGGTAGCTGGAGCCTAAAATTCAGTACAAGCTCCATGTACCAAGCCCTGGGCCAGGACACAGGACTCGAAGAGCAGAGGTAGGCTAGGTTTCAGCCCCTATGCACCCTCTTTAGTCTACCTTTGTGTAATACACAGTCACACAGGGGGGCCTGGGATGGAGGATCTTGCTTCCCATTGTGGAAGGTGAATAAGAAATACCTCTTTATCTTTGCTCCTGACAGCTCAGGCACAGGTGCCCTTTCTAGGCTCAGCCAATAGATGCTCCTTTCTAAGGCCTGGAACCTTGTGTGAGTGACAGAAGCACAGAGGTGGAGAGATTACATGGGGTAGCATCCACTGTGTTTAGGTATGTCTGAATGGTGACACATACAGCACTTCTGAGAACACTGAGCTACTATTGAACAAAACTCTGGCATGCTGATTGACCCAGTGGGTCTCCAGCTAGCCATCTCTGGATTAAGACATCCCAAGTCCAGGAAGGTGTATGAGTGTACTCACTTGTTCCCAGTAACCTTTGCATACACATAAGTTTCTCTCTCCTTCCTTCCTTCCTTCCTTCCTTCCTTCCTTCCTTCCTTCCTTCCTTCCTTCCTTCCTCCCTCCCTCCCTCCCTCCCTTCCTTCCTTCCTTCCTTCCTCTTCTCCCTCCTCCTTTTCTTTTTTCTTTCTCTTTTCTCTTTCTTTTCTTTTCTTTCTCTTTCTTTCTGTCTCCCCTTCCTCCCTCCCTCCCTCCCTCACTCCCTCCCTCCCTCCCTTCCCTCCTTCCTTCCTTCCTTCCTTCCTTCCTTCCTTCCTTCCTTCCTTCCTTCCTTCCTTCCTTCCCTCGTTCTTTCCTTCCTTCTTCTTTTTGGGAGACAGGGTCTCTCTCTGTCACCCAGGCTGGAGTGCAGTGGCACTACTGACGCTTATTGCAACCTCAACCTCCCAGACCCAAATGACCCCCCCACCTCAGCCTCCCAAGTAGCTGGGATCACAGGTGTGCCCCACCATGCCTGATTAATTTTTTATATTTTTTGTAAAGATGGAGTCTCCCTATTTGCCCAGGCAGGTCTCATGCTCCTAAGCTCAAGTGATCCTCCTGCTTTGGCCCCCCAAAATGCTGGGATTACAGGCATGAGCCACCACACTTGGCCCTGAGATGTCCTTTCTTGGCATCATAGTGCAGGGCAGTGACAAGCTTCCTGTCTCAGAAGGTTTGGATTTGGTTCCAGTTCTACTAGAGCTTGGTCCCAGAGCTTCCTAGCTCTATGACTTTGATCATGTTTGCATCATGCTGACTCTTAATTTCCTTGTCTGTAAAATGGAAATTTGAATGCTGGTACTCCTTGCCTCTCAGGGATATTGGAAGACTCAAATCCAGTAAGATAATGCATGAGAAAGCATGTTGCAAGCCTAACACGCTATGTAAATGTAAGGTATTATTATACTGCTCAGAGACATGAGAATTCATGTTGCTGATGTTTGAACCAGAGATGGTGGGAATCTAGCATGGAGCAGGCCTATCTAATTATTTTCAAAATGCTGAAAAAGGCCTTTCCAATTCATTGCCTTCCCAGTTACCCCTCCTGTCTGCTGCTGTAAACTTTCACTTTCCCATAACAATAAACATTTCTATTGTGCCTTACCATTATTTTATTTGACCCTCACAACATTCCTATGTGGTAAGGGTTATTCCCATTTGCTGATGAGGAAACTGAGGCTCAGGGAATTCTGGGAGATACAATTCAAGTTGAGATTTAGGTGGGAATACAGCCAAACCATATCATTCTGCCCCTGCATCCTCCAAATATCATGTCCTTACTTTTTTTTTTTGAAATGGGGCCTCACTCTATCGCCCTGGCTGGAGTGCAGTGGTGTGATCTCGGCTCACTGCAAGCTCCGCCTCCCGGGTTCACGCTACTCTCCTGCCTCAGCCTCCCGAGTAGCTGGGACTACAGGTGCCCGTCACTATGCCTGGCTAATTTTTTGTATTTTTAGTAGAGACGGGGTTTCACCATGTTAGCCAGGATGGTCTCGATCTCCTGACCTCGTGATCTGCCCGCCTTGGCCTCCCAAAGCGCTGGGATTACAGGTGTAAGCCACTGCGCCCGGCCCATGTCCTTACATTTTAAAACCAATCAGGCCTTCACAACAGTCCCCCAAAGTCTTAATGCATTTCAGCGTTAACCCAAAAGTCCATAGTCCAAAGTCTCATCTGAGACAAGGCAAGTCCCTTCTGCCTATGAGCCTGTAATACCAAAAGCAAGCTAGTTACTTCCTAGATACAATGGGGGTATAGGAATTGAGTAAATACAGCTGTCCCAAATGGGAGAAATTGGCCAAAACAAAGGGGTTATGGGGCCCATGCAAGTCTGAAATTCAGTGGGGCAGTCAAATTTTAAAGCTTCAAAATGATCTCCTTTGACTCCAGGTCTCACATCCAGGGAGATGCAAGAGGTAGGTTCCCATGGTCTTGGGCAGCTCTGCTCCTGTGGCTTTGCAGGGTACAGCCTCCGTCCTGGCTGCTTTCACAGGCTGGTGTTGAGTGTCTGCAGCTTTTCTAGGCAAATGGTGCAAGCTGTCAGTGGATTTACGTTCTGGGGTCTGGAGGATGATGGCCTTCTTCTCACAGCTCCACTAGGCAGTGCCCCAGTAGAAAGTTTCTGTGGGGGCTCTGACCCCACATTTCCCTTCCGCACTGCCCTAGGAAGGTTCTCCTTGAGGTCCCCACCCCTGCAGCAAACTTTTGCCTGGGTATCCAGGCATTTCCATACATTTTCTGAATTCTAGGTTAAGATTCCCAAACCTCAGTTCTTGACATCTGTGCACCTGCAGCTCATCACCACATGGAAGCTGTCAAGGCTTGGGGCTTCCACCCTCTGAAGCCACAGCCTGAGCTGATGGTTGGCCCCTTTCAGCCATGGCTGGATGGCTAGGACACAGGGCACCAAGTCCCTAAGCTGCACACAGCACGGGAACCTTGGGCCTGGCCCACAAAACCACGTTCTCCTCCTGTGCCTCTGGGCCTGTGATGGGAGGGGCTGCTGTGAAGGTCTGTGACCTGGCCTGGAGACATTTTCTCCATGGTCTTGGGGATTAACATTAGGCTCCTTGCTATTTATACAAATTTCTGGAGCTGGTTTGAATTTCTTCCCAGAAAATGGGTTTTTCTTTTCTATAACATAGTCAGGCTGCAAATTTTCAAAACTTTTAAACTCTGCTTCGCTTATAAAATGGAATGCCTTTAATAGTACCCAAGTCACCTCTTGAATGCTTTGCTGTTTAGAAATTTCTTCTGCCAGATACGCTAAATCATCTTTCTCAAGTTCAAATTTTCACAAATCTCCAGGGTAGGGGCAAAATGCCACCAGTCTCTTTGCTAAAACATAACAAGAGTCACCTTTACTCCAGTTCCCAACAAGTTCCTCATCTCCATCTGAGACCACCTCAGCCTGAACCTTATTGTCCATATCATTATCAGGCTTTTGGTCAAAGCCAATCAACAAGTCTCTAGGAAGTTCCAAACTTTCCCACATTTTCCTGTCTTCTTCTGAGCCCTCCAAACTGTTCCAACCTCTGCCTGTTACCCAGTTCCAAAGTTGCTGCCACGTTTTCGGGTATCTTTTCAGCAGTGCCCCACTCTACTGGTACCAATTGACTGTATTAATCAGTTTTCACGCTGCTGATAAAGACATACCCGAG